GACTAGCAGCGTTGCCATATTCACTGGTATCATTGTTTTAATAGAATTCGTATCGGAATGAAAACTATGTTAATCTTGGGTCCTGTTTAAAATTGGTAATCTTCTTGAAAAAAAGTTATTTAGAAAATAGTTAAGATATTTGTTATAGAATGCCGGTAAAGAGCCAAAAAATTAAATTTGTTAAAAAGTTGAAATTTTTGTTGTTTTTCTTTAAAAATATAAGTTTTTCGCGGTTTAGCGAAATTCTTGGTTCATTTTTACAACGATTGGCCTGAACCATTTTTTTTACAATTTTTTTTAACTGCCTCAAATGTAAAATTGATTTTTGGCGGAGGAGCGCCCGTCATGTTTGCTCTTAAAGCATTAAAAATAAATGAATAGGTGGTTCTGAGGTTCGCGTTCTTGCCTTTTACACGGAAGACTGGAGTTCGATTCTCGGATGGGGAAAAATGAAACGAAATTTTCTACGGCGTCGTGCTCAAATTTCGTCTTCGTGCGATATGGCCAACACATCCATTCCTGTTGCACAAACTACTATTGTATATCAAGTGCGCAGCGCTAACTTGAATAATTTAGAAGATAAAATTCGCCTAGTTGCCAAATAATAACCAAAGAAATAAAATGGAGCTAATTCGCCGGAAGGGAGCTTGTAGGCAGACTGGTGTATAGTTTGAACATTTGTTAAAGTAATGATTTATTTTTAACGTATTAGTTGTATTTGTTTTTACCTATTCGTTTTTAATATTTGAAGTAAATCTTTTCTTTAAAATGTTTGTTATTTACTTAAATACATAGGTTAACGTGTATGCCAAACTTTTCCATTTTAATGTTAAAGTAAAGTAATAAAAGTATTAGGTAGGGGCAGAGGTACACATAGAGAATACTCAAAAGGACAGTCATATATTTTAAAACGTATATATACACGCGTATATTGTCATTTCCGTCATTAAACATGTTCTTGTTTTGCGTCCTATATCGTTGGCGTCGATAAGTTATTCGGAATTGCCTTAGGGTTGTGACGGTGACGGCAGTGGGATTTTAAAAATATAGATTTTGAAAAGATTGTCTAAGAGTTTTTAGAATTGTTTCAAAATAAAAATTAGAAAATATACCGAAGTTAAGATATATAGATATATATTAAAGTTAAAGATTTTATATCGTAGAGATAAAATAAAAAAAGAACACAAAAAGAAAGTTTTATTTAAATTAAAGATAAGTGTGAATCGAAGAGCAGAAGGGAGAGTTCAGCAAAAGGAGGAGTAAGAGGAGAAAGTAAAGGAAAATAGTAATAGCAGGAGACCAGGCAGGAAAACAGAACGTATAGAAAGTCAGGGGTTAAAACATAAAGCAGAAGAACCCAGAGCAAAACGAAATAAACGAAGTGAAAGGTTTAGATTTAGATTTTTTTAATTCAAAATTGACCGATTAGTATTTTTTTAATATTATTTTTGTAGGAAGCTAAAGGAACCACACCCCTAAAGCTCTAAGATTTTGAAATCGATTAACTTTTATAGCCCTTATAATATGAGCGTCCAAAAAGTTCCTTTACGTAGAGCTACTGTATGTTGGTGAGATCAAAATAAGTCCCTTGGGCCAAAATTACCTATATCACAAAGTGCTTCGTTTGAATGTGAGGAAGCTTCAAAGTTAAAAGAATTTTTTTTTAATTACTCAAAACCGCTTTGTACGATTTTTATAAAATTTTGATTGAGTTGTCATTGTTCAAAGCAAAAATTACACTGGAAAACTACCCCAATCCTACTATAAATGACATCGTATTTTTTTTTTTTTTTTTTGAGGGCAGCCCCTGTTTTCTCAATTTTTTTATGGAGATCTGTATTCATTTGTAGCATTTGTTATCTGTTGCAAAAAACTTGTATCCCTGATGAGATTTGAGTAAAAAAATGTATGGACTGATAATTATTAGTGACTTAAAATTTTTAATAAAACTAAATTGGCAGTTATAACTAAAGTAGTGATGCCGCGAGACGAGAGATACTCGTCTCTCGTCTCGTCTTGTCTCGTCTCGAACCAGACGAGAGAGACATTTTCTCTCGAAAACAAATTCGAGACGAGACGAGAGAGTGTCATCTCTCGACGAGAATTTCTCGTTTCTCTCGAGCTCTCTCGGGCTCTCTCGAAAAATTTTTTCTTTGCTTATTTGAAATTTTCAATTGCTTATCGTAACCTAAAATTTTAACATATTAGATTTCAAGATAGTCAAAAAATTAACTATAACACACCTATTCTATATATTATATTAAATGGTAACAAATGATACATGTGTTATTAGGATTTTATAAATAGTGATTTATAAGAAAAAATATTTCTCATTTCATTTATTTAAAATTTCTACAATCATTTCTTATATTTAATCCATTTTGCTTTTCTGAGGTTACCTTTGAAGATAAGTTGAAAATTTTTAAGCGGTTTTTCGAAAAACTGTCAAAGAAAAGGTAATACGAACGAATGTATTATATACAGTGAGGACGAAAATTGTACCCTCCACTATTTTAACTTCTAAATGAAAAAAGATAATGACGAAACAAAAACGAGGTAAAACTCAAGAGATATTATATTTTTGTTAAAACGAGATGCACTTTACTTGAGACACGTAAGATAGAGGGAGTTAGTAGCTTTAAATTTTCTAATGGAAAGTAGGGTCGTGTGATACCTCATTTGAAAAATATTTCCTATATTTTTACGTTCATGTAAACAGATTTAGGTTTTTATGTTTTTACAGAAACTACATTAAATAAATTCATAAAGTAGGTTAAATTATTTTTTATTTACCGCTTCAACCTCAAAGGATCATTCCGGAGGTATAATAACTTATACATGCTGTTTTTTACAATAATATACAATGGATAATTATCATTTTGGCTAGTACAGAGTAAATGTTAGTATCTTTTATAAATTTAAGTAATTTTTTACTGTTAGAGGGATTTAACACTGCACAAATGGCAATTTTTTGTAGCTGGTACTTTGTTCTTATACATACATGTTCTGGGCCTTTACTAATAAGTTACATTCTTGATAACCCTCATATTAACAATTATTGTTTAATACTAAGGAAACGCTTCTTGTATTTACTAAAATAAATAAATAAATTAAGAATATCAAAGGTGATTTAAAAACCACTTGACGTATTAAATTTTTTATAACTTCTTAGCAAAAAAAAGCCTATTAAAAAATTATCTTCTAACATTATCTAACATTTTTAGGATTATTACGGCACACGAGGATTATCAAGAATGTAATTTTTGTAAAAACCAGAAAATATTTAAACTGTTTGCTTGGACGTAAATATAATCAAAATATCTTTCAAATGAGGTATTACATGTTTTTACTTTCCATTATAAAATTTAAAGATAGTAACGCCCTCTGTTTTACGTCTTAAGTAAAGTGCATCTCATTATAACAAAAATATCAGAATGTTTCTCTAATTTCACATCATTTCTTATTGCCAAATTTGGGTACTAATGCGCAAATTACTTGAAAAATTCTTTGTTTTTGTCTTACAAATTTTACTGTTTTTCATGTTTCGTCGTTTTCAAATTTAAATTTGATATTATTTTATCACGAGAGAAACGAGACGAGACAAGACGAGAGAAAGGCTCTCTCGAGCGAGAGAAGCGCCTTCTCTTTGAGACGAGAGAACAGTTTTCTCCCGCCCTACGGGATCACTATCAATAGGTATAAGTATCGACTGAAAAATAAGATTTCAAACAGATGATTAGAGATTTCAAATTTTCAAGAAAACTGACGTAACTATTAAAAAATTTGTTAATTTTGACAGATATGGTGTAGAACTGTAAAAATTGTCTATACTACTCATTTTGATTATTGTATTTTTTGTTTCGCTTTAAAGTTCTTGTTTCCGAATCACCAGACTTTTGCTTTTATCGAGTAGCGACTTCGAAAAAACTGGTCAACTGAAACCGAACAGAAATAATGCTGGACGACCTCGTCAAGCCGGAACTCCTGCTGCAGAGGAGGTAATACTTGAAATAGTTGAAAATAATCCTGGAATTAGTACCCGAAGTCTGGCACGCCAAACTAGGGTTTCAGAAAGCACATCCAACGGAATAATTACTGAACAACAACTTATTTATCCCTTTCACATTCAAAGTGTCCAGGAACTCCTGATTAAAGTCTCGTTTGCATTTCGTGCAAGTCATTCAAAAGCGCAGTGCGGACGATCCAGTTTTTCACAGACAATTTTGTTTACAGACGAGTCATGCTTTACACGACGTGGTATAACAAATGCACATAACGATCAAGTTACGCAGATGAAAATCAACATGCTATTAAAGAGAAACATTTTCAACGAGGGTTTAAAATTAATGTATGGTAGTCATTAGTCGTCAGCTGTAAGAATCAAAAGTACTGAGTACTCTAAAATTTAAGTAGGTACGCAAAATTTTACCAATTGTTGAGTACTTTGACTACTCGAGTATAATTTTAAGTACAATTTACTCGAGTTCCGTCTGTGGCTGTGGGTTACTCTTCCACACCTTACACCCTACAGATACAGAACAGTTCCATAAATATCGCCCAATTCTATTACACATTTATTATAGTTTACTGCTCTGTAAGTTATATATACGTTTAAATATTTGTGAATTAGGCTGCATGTAGAATTACATTTCCTAGCTGATTACTTCATCCAGTACGTATAGGAAACATAAAGATGCTTACCGTAGAGTGTAGAGTCTATGGGCAATTGCAATTTTAAAATGACTGATTCCTAATAGTAAAAGATGTGATTTTATTTTAGCACTGTTTTTGTTCAATTTAATACTTATTTTTTTTTTCTGAAAAAAATGTTTATGTGATAAAATAAAAGTTTTATTTTTTTAACTAATTAGGAAAAATACAGAATTTTAAAATTGTCAAAAAAAGTTTTCTTTAAAACAACAGATGCCTTTTTTATTATAATAAAAATTCATTAGATTTTATTTATTTACTGCACACTGCACTTATATTTTATGTTACAGGTCTGGCAACGCAAACCATTCTGACAATCCCAGTTAACCACGTAAATAGTTCAGACCAGATGGTTAATCTAGCTCTGAATAATGGGCAAGTGATGCAGACATCTTTAGCTAATTTGCAAGCCATGGCTCAAACTAATTTATTAAGTAATCCCACTAATCCAGGTAAGACCTGTCTATCAATCTAACTGACTAACTAACATCTAGTGAGGAGGACTGACTCTAAATACGAGGGTAGCCTTTAAAGTTTTTACAAACGATTACTATGGAAATTTTACGTAAAGGTTTTCATCGGAAGGCTTAACTCAATAACAATACTTCGATTTTTAAAGAGAAATTACTTAACTATAATCAAAACCACACATGCAAATATAAAAATTTCCCGTCAATATGGCGTTATTTATATCACATGACGTTAGATACATTCCTTCTTGCCTCGCTGAATAATATAAAATGTAAAGTAAAACGAAGATATTAAAAAAAATTGAGTTAGATATAAAACGTTTGACATTTAAAATTAATGTGACTTTAAATGTTTAGCAATATTTCTTATAACCCTTTTGGTCTTAACTACTTATATTATTATTTTTAAAATTATTTTATAGTTTTGTATTAAACGTTGCTAAAAGAATTAAAATGAATATTTTGCACAGTAATAAATGTTAGAAAATTCATTTTAAAACAATGTTTCCATTTTAATTTGTATTTAAAACTGTATTTTTTTTTTCACTTTTATGGCAATGTAAACGTCAAATCATAACTCAATCCCAAATAAGATGTGTTTCCCTACATAATACACTTGCAATTGTTATCATAACACTTACCAGTGTTGAATTTCCGTTTTTTGCTAATAATAATAATAGTTAGTAGTAAGAAAGTAGTAAGAATAATAAGAGATTCTGTACATTTCATTAAAAATATAATGTTTTATTATTTGTGTTTTTCTATTATCATTATTTACCTAGGGTGAGAAATATTACTTCTCATTAGAGGAATGGAGTAAATAATGATGATTTCTCATATTAGTAGAAAAAAATCTTTATATTCAAAGAACCTAAACAAACTAACAGTTCTATGGACCGTGGACTCATTCATAAAAATATTATTCTTCCTACACCCACATATATATTACCTATTCTAACCACAGACTATAAAACGAAAAAGTAGGTCATTGCGTTTAATTAAATAAATATATTAAATAAATTCACTAATCACAGTTCATATTTGGACACCAGGCTGCTATTATTTTTTTTAAATTTTAAATAAGTGATAATTCTCTCAAACTAATTGTCCGGATATTTTTTAGTTATTGAAATTAAACATAATTGAAAATGAGTGATTCTTGCAGGAGCGTGCGGTCCATGGAAGCGGGGGAAACACCGCTTTCCTTCACTTTGAGATTTAAAAATAAATCTTTTTCAGTTTACAATGCATAGAAATTAATATTAAATTAGGTACTATATTTTCTCTGAAATATTACGTAAACTTCGTAAATGTACTAACAATTCATTGGTGTAATGTGTAAACGCATGCACCACACATGAGAAAATTAATTGTGTAAACGCACAAACCATATAGGTACTTCCAGTCCGACGGCGGAAACGCGTCTTGAAAAAGCCGGCTCATTTTCCAATTGATTTCGCTTCGTGTTATTGACCCTGCTTTGCCGCGACACAGTAGTCAGTCTGTTTGGGCACGTGAAATACGGTCTAGAGGCAGCGATTTTTACGTCGCCTTACGCATATTGCAATTCGCACCGCGAATCGACGTGTGAGGAAAATCTTAGACTTCGGATAGATTTCGGTTTGTTTTTCGTAGTTGTATTTCTTTTTGTAAAATTGAGGAACTATGCACTGTGCCTGTGAACAATAATAATGTGGTAAATTGTGTCTGTATTTTGTGCTTTTTATTGAAAAAAGGATTTTCAAGTAGAAATTTTGAAGAGGAAACGGACATTATTAATTCTAGTAGACTAAAGGATCCTATCAATTTAGAGACGAAAGTAGAAAAGTCAGTAAAGAAATTTACCAGGCATTTTCACGTAGGGTTCTATGAAAAGTATGAATGGTTAACCGGCTGCAAAACTTTGAAGAAATTGTTTTGCTGGCCTTGCCTACTTTTTAGTATAGCCGAAAAAACACATTGGAACTTAGTCGTTACAGACTTGAATAATTTCCACAAAAGTGTAAAACGACATGTAAATAGCAAATGCTACAATTAAAGAAAAAACATTCGGGACCTATCGCATTAAACATAGTTTGGACAATCATTTAAAAATAGCAACAAAATTCACAATTAAAGGGTAAAAAAAAATAGGGACTTCTTACAACGATTAATAGATGTAACTTGTTTCCTGGGAGAGCATGAACTAAGTTTTAGGGGTCACAATGAAGCAAGTAGATCCGCCAATCGAGGAGATTACATGGACATTCTAAGTTTTTTTAGCAAAATACGATGATACCCCAAAAAATCATTTTATTGATTCGACGACTTTCCGAGGTACTTCAAACAGAATCCAAAATGATTTAATTATATGCACTGCCGACGTTGTGATGGATCACATTAAAAGTGAAATTAAAAAAGCACCTTTTGTATCAATTGCGCTTGATGAAACTACAGATGTAGCAAACTTAAGTCAATTATCCATTGTTGTGCGTTTCTTAGGATTTTTGGACGTCACTAGCGAACGAATTGCATTGTTTAAAAATGTTTGTGACATTATTTAAGTTTAGAATGTGGTTCTAAGCATTTTGCCCAGAACTACAATGGTGCTGCCGTAATGGCCGGCCATTTAGGAGGCCTTCAAGCTAAAGTCAAAGAGAAGTTTAAACACGCAATTTTCGTTCACTGTATAGCACATAGACTTAATTTGGTTTTATCGCAAAGCATGGATAATATTAAAGATTGCAAAGTTTTCTTTTCGACGCTTAGTGGTTTGGCTTCCTTCTTTTTAAAGTCATCGAAAAGAACTCGCGCTTTGGACATTTACGTTCAAAAAAGGTTTCCAGAAGTTGCTCCGAAGCGATGGAATTACAATGGACGTTTAGTGCAAACAGTGTTTCAATACCGTGATTTTTTGATACACTTTTTTTAAGACATTTGGTTGGGAAAATAAAGAAACATGGGATGCTGAAACTGTTACTGCTGCTAAAGGGTATTTGTATTGGCTCAAACAAAACTTTGATTTCAGTTTTTTGCTCAACATTTTTGCAGAGATTTTCCCTTTTACTGACATTTTATTCGACATTTTACAAACAAAGTCAAATGACATTGGCTTTTGCATTAAACAATTGGTGATTTTAAAAATAAAATGAATAAAAAACGATATCAGTTGGAACACTTTTGGAATAAGACTCAAAACATTGGCTTAGAACCAATAAAGAGAATTAGAATTGATAAGGTTGGCGTCGTCGATTATTCGCCGAAATTTTTGATAATATTTTACAACAAATTTTACGACGATGTTATAGACAAATTTGCAGCCATTTAGGATAGGCGAATAGATCTTAAGTATAAATAAATGTCAACTGCTGTGTCAACTCTGCGAAAAATGCTGGAAAAAATAAAAAAAAACTTCAGTTAAATTTTTTTTTACGTTTAAATAAACCAAGGAAGCTTTTCAATGGTAATTTTTTTAATAGCTTCTAGTACTAAACTAGGTAATAAAGTAATAGTAACACTTCAAACATCTCAATCTCGAATATCCGTAGTACTGAGAAAAAAAAGCAACAATTTGACATAATGGTGAATGCGCCGCGAAAAAATTTAGCCTGCGGCGCTGTGCTTACTGGCCTGCTGTATTTTTAAACAATCGCTTCCCCTTCCAAAAATGTTACCGCACGCCACTGGATTCTTGCTATAAGAATCGATAAATAAAAGCATTTTACAAGATTTTCGTCTATACAGGGTGTTTTATCGTGAAAGGGAAATATTTTAACCCTGTATAGAGGTCACTTAGGGGATCACAAAAAAACCCATATAGTATGGGTCTTGCGATCTTTATAACCGAGTTGTAAGGTGTTTTTTGAATTTGGCCCATTTCTTCTGTGCTCCATAACTTCTAAATCACCCAGTATATTTTTTTGATATTTGACATAGATAATCTAAATTCGACACATTAAAAAATTTAAAAATACAGGTCCTGCTTGACAAAACTTAATAAAGTTTGACCCACTCTAAAACAACACCCTATACATCAAATTTTTTAAAGTTGAATTTAAAATTTGGATATAGCATAAAAAACTGAATACATTCATCAACTTTTTATTATGAGAATTTTAGTCTATGCAAAATGTAGTTGAAGGGGTTCTAATTATTTTTTCTTCATTAAAATTAATTTTACTTTACTTTTTCATGGAAATTCCTGAAACAAACTTATTGAATTTGAAGTAACATTCACAAAAACCAATATAAATTACAATTACAGATCCGTACAAAAGAAAATTTAAATGATTCATATCCATTTAACAATTAATCATTAATTATTTAATATTTACATTTTTACATGAAAACATTGTTGATTTTCACATTAGGGGCATCTTCATTCAATAGACCTAATCCACATGAACTGGAAAATTGTTAAAAACAATAAAAATTAATTATTGCTGTTATGACTTGGTACTAATTACAACTATGTAGTGTTAATAAAATTGTAATTATATTACTAAAATATATCCACTCGAAGGTACTTAAGCTGAAATTTAGGCGATGAAATTGAGATATCTAGTTTGTTTGTGTCTCATTTCTAATGTCATTATTTGGTTTTTGTCAATTAGTGTACGATCTTTTTGAATTGCATTAGATTATTCCGTGTTTTCCTAAGATTTAACAAAATGCATCAATATTCTAATCGAGAATACTGCGACATGGTATTTGTTTATGGTTTTTACAATGGTAGCCCTTCATCTGCAAAAATCGAATACGAAAGAAAACCTGATTGAAAAACTTTTACTCGTATTTTTAATTACTTAAGTGAACATGATACAACATTCCCTACAGTTAAAAACAATGAACACCGAGAAAGAAGATTTTTGAATAATGATATTGTCAATAGGGTAGAGGCTAATCCACAGATAAGTACCCGAAGAATTAGTCACGCTCTGAACATACCATTTTTCTACTGTTTGGAGGCGATTAAAGAAACATAGCTTTTATAGATTATTAGG